TTGTAAATTTTAAAACAAAAATATAATATTTTAAATGTAATTTGTATTTTCGTTTATGATTTTCTGTCAGTTATGTTCCTAAGGAATTCATTTTATATTTAAAGAACCTTCCTCTGCGTTGGGTATTCCTCTCTCAAAGTTTTCTGAGAATGCAATGCTGGTTATTAGTTAATAAAACTTATAATCTTTGCTTTGAATAACCTGTTCATTATTGAGTTTTATAATGCAGGACCAAGTTTATTAATTAATAGTATTAGTTTGAAGCTAAATTACTTTAAATAAAATCTAAATGGCTTCCAAGATAAATCTATTAAATAAAAGTTTTCCTTCAAGATCACAATAAGTATAATGACTTTTATCCTTATAAAAACTTATAAATCTAAAAATACTTAAATGCTTCCCTTTTCGTTGAACCAACAATTTGAGTTACGAGCACAAAGGCATTTAGTACGTGCATTTTAAGTTTCCGCTAGACTGGCTTGTTTTCCTTTCCTTTTCTCTTTTGAGGGAAACCCTGACCTTACCCGTTGCTCCATTTGTTTTCCTTGTCGAAAATTTCTCGTGGCTGACCATCTGTTTGCATTTGTATCTAAATAGTTTGGCGAAAAGTTTTAATTTGTTTGATACAAAATTGTTTGTTTGCCTTCGGTGAGATACCAAAAAGGAACACAAAAGCTGACTTTCTGCGTTAGTTTAATGATTCATGATTGGAAAGTTAAGTTTATGCAGCTCATGATTTGTGCTGGGAGTTGGTAATAATTTATTACTCTCTGTCTCTGGTAAAAGTTAGACTAGAGTTGTGGTAAAAAAAATAAATAAAATTTAGTAGAAGATAATTAATAAATGGCTGAACTAGATCGCTAAGTTATGGCCAATATAAGTCTATGGGAAATATATTTTGTTTTTCGCATTTTTTGCTCACTCAGCGGCAAATAACTTTTTCATTTCTGCCGACGAAGGCAAGTTTAAAGAAATTCTTATGGAAAAATAAAATAAATACCCCTGGGCTTGGCCTGAAGACTCGTTTCTCAACTTGGCCAGGAGGTCCTCCTTTCAGCTCAGCTTCCTTGGCCTCTGATTACCTGGCAAATGCCAGGCCACATCAATCAATCGAGGCGGCAAAGTTTTATGCAACTTTCTGGTCCGTTGCGGTGTCTAACCAAGCCAATTAATTTGTGGTTTACATGCCATTCCGCTCGTCAATAAATAAATGCCCCTCCCACTTCTGCACCACCGCACACACCCTTGGGCACATCAATAGGAGCATGCGGGCTCATAAATAATGGAAATCAACTTTGCAAAATTTTATTCATAAGAAAATTTGAATAGCTTGGGGGGTAAGAAAAATATTTCTTTATCGAAAAATAAAACTTACTTCGTTTTACATTTTACCATTTCATGGTTCTTAATGGTACGGCCAGCAACGTTTGGCTTTCAATCAAATTATTTTGCTGACTTGCTGCAGCAGCAACAACAAAACAACAACAATAATTGGCACAAAACTTTTGATTAAGGCATTTTTTCGGTTTAATTAACTGTTTTGTCTTTGTACGCTGGGGCGATTGTGTGAGGCGATTGACTGAAAAAGACCGAAAAAAATCAAACATATTGGACTGGAATGTTTTAATTTCCATGGAAACCCATTGAAGCGAGTCCAGTCGAAAAATGTTTTTCTTGCAAATAAATTGAAAATTTAAAAATTTACAGAAATAACAAATTGATGCTTCCAAAAAAATTGGATGATTATGAAATATATTTCTTACCTATTATAAAGTTAAGTTATAAAGTTATATAAAATAAATCTCCCAAACTTATAATACCTTTTCTTTTTGCATGTAAACTTTCTGCAGATTATGAGTTTTGAGCTCGGGCACCAAGAGGCTCATTAGGGAGTTGGTTCGGCCAGTCTGGTGGCATGCCGCACTTTAATTTTTTCTTGTTCTTGCTAATCTGCCAGTGCATTTAGCTCTCAGCAGTGGCTATCATCAGCTTTCCTCGGCTTGCCTTGGCCGTTTAATGCAGTCCAAAGAGCACTCGAGTAGTAGAAGAAGAAAAATTCTCGAGGGGCGGCCACGAGAGGGCTCCTCTCACGGAAAAGTTGCAGTTGACACCATCTTATGAAATTAGTTTCTTTTTTCTTCTCTTCTCTCCCCTTCCTATATTTTTGTGACTTGACATCGTTTTGGCCGCTGCTGGCACTTGAGGGTCGCTTCCTCTTAGTTTTTTTTTTTTTTTTTTTTTTTGGCTGTGTCCTTTGCCATGTAATGTGAATATTCGTGCGGACATCGCTGGCAGGCTACGACAAAAGGCAATGTCGCAGCATAAATCTGCTGGCCAAGGCAGCTCCTTCGACTCGTCGGCCTCTGAGCTAAGCGTTTTTGTTTAACTTTACACTTGACCCCCGAAATGGCCAGCTTCAGTTGCCTTGGATTTATGCTTGTGTACTTTTTTGTTGGCTGTCTGTTAGGAATTTTTGCTAAATTTGCAGGTGGATCTTGGCTTTCACATGTTTGTCTGGAATTTTTTTTATTTTCTTTAGCAAAAAATGATGAAAATTTTATGAGAGCATACCAAGGAATTTTATATAGTCTAGAAATGCATTAGGAATATGATTTTTATGTAGAACAAATTTAGTTTTGTTAAGAAACACCTTCTAAGGATTCCACCTAACCAACACAAATAAACTTCGAAAAACAATTTCCAAAAGAAGCAACCTTGTAATTTTAGTGACAGTAAAATATTAGAAGTGTTAGCCAGCTGAGAAGGGAAAGCAAAACACGGCCACGTTATATAGATCATGAATCTTTTTTATTGCAAATTAAGGATTAGCAAGTGGGAAAGTGCCATCTCGTTGGAATTTACGTTTTATGTTTATGAGGTCAGAGAGTGACAGAGAGAGAGAGAGAGAAACAGCTAAGAGCTTAGAGCTAAAAGCCAAGCTAGCTTATAGCCAATAAGTATTGAAAACCGAGAACGGGTTTGACCTTTTCATGCTGCCATAATTCTTGACTCACTCTTTGTTTAGACGGGCGTGGTCGGGTCGAAAAACACACTAGCCAGCAGCATGAGAGTCGGCAAACAAATCTGTTTAATTAAGGCGAAAGTCCACTCCGGCCAAGACAAGACCCATCATTGCCCGCACTTCTTCCACTTTTACGAGTATGGTATGTGCCCGTTGGCTCTTTGGCTCCGTGTGAGCGATGAGGTGTTGGTTAGCCTTTGGGCCAGGCAAATTGCTTGGTCAGTTCTTTGAGGCCGGCAAACACACTCACACACTCCGAAGAGTTCATTTCAGTCAAGGATGTGCCAGGACGCAAGGGGGCATCGGTGGGATCAAGGGAATCTGGTAGGCGATGGCTAGGTGCCAGAGCGATAATTTGTTGCCAGCCAGTCGCAACCTCTCGTAACTTAGATGCTGCCAAAAAAACAGAAGCTCAATTTATAAATGAAATCGTTTCGTTGCCTTATCCAGCAGACACGCTAAGAAAATAGGTTAAGTTGGGATGTTTAAAGGAGTTTTAAGAATTAGTTAAAAAATATATATAAAATATAAGTTCTTAGGTAATCGGTTAAACTATGTTTTGAATAAGCTTATATGCTTACTATCCCTACAGGCCAACTTAAAAATTAATTTAAAGCCAAAGCTAGATTTTTACTTAACAATATTCCTTAATCTTTATATAACACACTTCTAATTGCCTTTTAGTGTGATTAACTTCCACTTTCTTTCATTGATTTAAAAACAACAATTTATTATTTCCAGTGTACTTCCCTAAACACCCTCTGCCTTCCTTGCCCCAGCTTTATCCTCCTGGGTTCCGCCTCTTTTGAGCGAGATTTGAATTTCTTTTTGTGTTACTTATCGCCTTGATAGATACACTTGGGTCCATTTGATTGCTTTGATGTATGGCCAAGAGAAATGGCAATCGAGTGGGAAACTCATGGAGAATAGTGAGAGAAAGGTCGTTGAGGCGTCTTTGATTTGTTGCGGGCTCAATGCACTTGAATTTGTTTGCCTTTGATGTTGGCACATTAGTTTCGGGTTGATTTGAAAGCCCCACAATATCCCTTCGCCTCTTTAATTTTTCTCTTTTTCTTTCCACTTTGAAATAAACTCCTTTTCACTTGCGAATTTTCCTGCTGCAGTGCAACAGTTTCCACAGAAACCGCAGGAAATGCATTGGCTAATCTATTTAAGCCATCATCGTGCATCGTGACGTGACGTTACCCGTTACCCTAAAATCACCAAATCGCATAGCCACATCCCCCAAACCCGTTTCCATGTAAGTTTCTGGCGGCCAACAAAATTGTGGCAGGTTGGCCATTCCCCCAGCGACATCTGCTGCATGCGACATCACAGAAAGTGGGGGAATGGCATGGGTTTTCCTGCCAAATCGCTGCCACAACAAATTCCGACCGTCTGGCCAAATGAAATAGGATTCCGCAGTGAACCACAGTGGCGGAAAGCGTTGCACACAAAAAAATATATAAAATAGAAATCGTGGCTCAGAGGAAACGTCATAAAAATTGTCTATTTCTCACATAGATTCTTCTCCCTGGCAAATATCTACTCCTATATATATATATTTACTTGTGTGTGTTGGGAAAGTCTATAGAAATGCTTTAGAATCGTCATGGCAGCTTCTTGGCAGGATTGCCAGGAATATGGTGCATCACTTGACGTTCAACGGACACTGGGTGGTGTTAGCCAGCAAGGAGTCACATCCTCAGGTTGAGCCTGTTGCCTGGCATCATCTGCACGGCAGTTCTACCCAATCCGATAAATATACAAACACTGACATTTTAGCTTAACTTTCGATGTGAGAATTAAATTTAACTTAAGCAGAACCTTTAAGGTTCAAACTTGAAAGAGTTATTTATAGTTCATATAGGTCAAAATTTTGTTTAGTTTCTTAACTACCTGAAAACCTGAGTGAAATATTTCTTTCACTTTTTAAATCTTTAATCTAGTTTTCTGGCATTTTCATTTTTTATTTACAGAATATTTTGAAGATATTTTGTAGATAAAATTTCTTTCAATTTGCCAGAATTTCATATAAATTTTGTTAGAGCTTGATTTTATCGCTGGGCAGTTGTTTTCTCAATGGAGGCAATTTCACTCATCCGATGTTGGCCAGCAGTTTCCCAACTCATCCTGCCTATCATCCTACTCTTTCACCATTGGAACGCGTTTGACCTGCTGTAAAAGTAAGATTTGTCTATGAATTTATTGGCATTATTGGCATTATTATTGGCATAAATTTGTGAGTGGTTCTCTGGGAAGCGAGACTTACCAGCAGGCACTTGTTGGCCATGGTCTGAGGACCTGGACGTTCTCTTTTCAATTTGATGTGTTTCTCTACACTTACATAGTAGAGGGCGCCAATTCTTTCACGAAGAATGAAACGCTCACCGCGATCTGAAGTCTCGGGAATTTTCTCCTCTTTATAACGCTGATCTGAGACATAAACTGTATTTGCCATTCTCTTAGGGTCTTTGATGACACTGAAGTTTAGCATATAATTGCCACAATCTCTGATTAAATTGTTGGTATCATTGGGTGGAATATCAAACTGAAGTTGGACAAAGTTATAGTTTAGTAAATCTATATCGGGTAATACTGGTAGAACAGAGACTGGATGAGCTTTGCTACCAGGTTTGGTGGGATGCTTTAAAAGTGGCTTCGTTACGTCCACAAAGGTTCTACCAATAATGTTCTTTTGTTGCTCTAGGCTGACTGGTTCGATGATTTTTATAGACTTGGCTTCCGGAATAGGACGCTGTAATCCTAGACGAGGACGTGGTATTTGGGCTCTCTCTTTGGCAAACATCTGAGCGCATTCCTGGGCGCGACTTGGTCTGGGCTTGCTGCTGCCACAGTTCAGGGCTTCTATATCCACCAGTAGAGCTGCATCCCTTGGATCCATTTGCTGTGCCCGATTCGTTGGCTTCTTGTCGTAAACTTTCTGATCCACCAAATTAACATCGAAAAGCAGATGAAGTCCTTTGAAATGATGCTCGAATTTTGTTTCCTGTTTCAAGAATGAAACTGGCTCCATAGTGGAAGCCAGCAAATCCTTGCCACAGGGCAGATATTTGCAACCCAGCGATAATTCGGGCATCTCATTTTTGTAGACAATGGGGCAGATGAACTGATTGCTGGGGGGTATTTTGATTTCAGATTGTGTTCGGTGGAAAGTGTTCCCCTCTTTTTTACTTACTGCTTTGCACCCAGATTCGTCGGTTTGAACAATTCATTTCCCGCCATTATGTGAGAACTCAGCTTTTTCTTGTTTTAAGCTTAGATTTTCCTGCTTTTCTGGTCGTTTCTCGTCTGCCGTTCCAATTGCTCGACAAGTTTTCTGATTTGTGCTTCGTCAGTCACTTTGACAGGCACTGCATTTCATTCAGACAGATAAGTCAGCAGCGGCAAGTTGGCAGCTCGGCGTGAGAAAAACTAGGTGCCGATAGCATCTCTCGAGTTGGTTGGATTACCGCCTGCGGTTGAAAAAGGGGGAGAAAAGTTTTTAAACTTTATCTTTAATTAAAATGTTTAAATAATGCAAGACTTTAAAAATGTTTTAGCTAGTTGGTTCTTGTTTAATAACTAATACTATCGCTTAGCTATCCTAACTATCGTTTAAGTAACCTAACTATCGATATAAAATCATCCGTTCTAGTGTTAAATAAAGTTCAAACTCTTTAAAAGTATTGAAAAACTGAAAACAAGAAACCACTTTGGACTGGACGACACGTTTCCCTAATCAGTTTTAGTTTGTCGAGGTCCTCACCTCAAATTGACTCGTCCGTAATCAGCCGACTTTAAAATCCCTTCCGTGTCACTCTCACCGACATTTGCGCCCACTTTAAACCCCACAAACATCCGCAAGATGGGGGCCACTCGGCCATAATGGACTCTGACTTGGCCACCTTAGGTTTTGGCCAGTGCTAAGCTCATTACGTGCCACGCCTCCACAACGCTTCCGTACATACAATTGCAAACTGTTGTTGTGGTGGCCATGGATGGAAATTGTGCACTGAGAAAAAAATATCAGGAAAATAATACTGAGAAAGTGATTTATAATAAAAGGTAAATAGAAAAGGTTGTATTGGAAACGTCTTCAACGGATATTTCCTTTAAGATTATGTGAAATAAATATCACATACTAAGTACATACTGATATTTGACAGATAAAGATAAAATGAATAATGCCAAGCTAATTTCCAGTGTGACTGATAATGGTGATGAGCAGACCGATAGAGAGGGGTCGGAATCCTCGACGTGGCTCGTGCTGAAATTAATTGATGCGACAATGGCTGAGCAACGACTAACTTAGGCCTCCAACTCAATTCAGGCCGCCACATCATGAGCTCATCATCATCATCAACATTGTGAGTTGCAAAGGGGGCAGGAAAATTAGTAGTAGTAGAAGGAGAAAGAAGAAGAGGAAGAGGAAGACGAGGAGGAGTAGCAGCATTGAGAGGAGGAGCTTTGCCGTGATGGGAGGTGTGACCCATTCTGGATGCCCCATTCTGAGGGCTGTGCAATTTGGCGTGCGGAATTTCATTAGAGCCACCGCAGTCGCCGGAGCAGCGAAATCAAAATTTAATTTATGCTGACATTGAAGTGTCTGTGGGGCAATTAAATCGACAGGGGGGCGTGCCGCCGCCTTTTGCTGCGTCCTTTGTGTTGATTAAGTACCGCCGAGCAATATTTTAGCATAATGATGTCCTGGCACGCAGTTTGTGATCCTCCCCCGGTTGTTTGGTTCTTTAGTGCCTGCTCCTTCGGCAAGCCTTTCACTTGAGCTCCCTCCTCTTTCCTGTCACTTGAGGGCCAAAGGATTCGGACCGCCTTTGATGGCCTGATGGCCTGATGGCTGCGCCTGATTAGCCCTGCGCCGATTAGCCTTTGTGCCCCAAGAATTTACGACAGCTAAGCAAATTTTTATTCGAGTTTTTCGACTAATTTGTTGATGGCCTCCTTGATGAACCGTCAACCATTTTGGATTGCACATAATCCGGTTAGCTAAAAAGGATCTCGAGCTTACACGCTTACGTTTAATGGCCGGAAATATGTTACGGGCAATCCGAAAATATATAAATTGATATACTTTTTCCCTAACGTTGGTCATTTCTCTCGAGATTATATTTTTAGGTGCAATTTATCTCTACTATCAAATATATATTTTCCCACAAAGTAGTTGCTAAAAAAGGACCTCCTTCGCTGGTAGCACAAACTTTTCACATTTTTTTGTTAGCTTAAAGGAGTATTTGGCGACTAAGTAGCAAAAGATGATTTTCCGCAGCTAAAGATACTTTTAAGACGGATTCTCGGCTTTTACTGTTCAGCGGCTTAAAGTACTTTTCATTTTCTTAAACTACTTTCCGGTTGTTACTTTTTTGCTGTAACTTTTTAAAAGCTGCATTCCGGTTGCAAGACTTTAGTAGATACTTTACTTTTCCGCGGGTCATGATAGTTAAGGCTTGGTTTAAAGGACACTGGAGAGGCTCTGAATTTTCTAGTCCACTTTGGGCTAATAATACACCTCGCTACAAAAACATCAAGGATTTAATTAGCTTCTTTGAATAATCTCATGACAAATAGCATTAGGATGCCTATATTTTCATCGCCTTTCTGCTTTTTAGGCCTAATCCCATCAAGTGCGTTGCTTTTACCACTTTTCCGTTTCCTTATTACACAAGCCCAGTTTTATCCCTTGATATGCCTTTCATTTTCTTTTCTGGTCTAATCACATAAAGAATTTGAGAGTTCAAAAGGAAACCTTAAAAAGCTGTGGAGTTGGAGTTTTATTTAGGAATGATTTTTCCTGTCTATTTTGCATTCATTTGCCATTTCCTGACAATTCCTGGCATTTCTATTTGTCCTGACATTCAATGGTTTTAAGGGCCCGCATCTGGTCGACTACGATTTGGAATTGCTAGTGAAAGTCGAAGCTGTAATTAAGCCCCACAGCTGATTGGAGACGCCCACTTTTAAATCGGGCATTCTACTAATTAAGTGCGAATGATGCTCCACTCATGAAATGACGACTGTTCTGCTCAGTTTTCCCACTGGGAATGTGGCGTGGACGTTGACAATGCGGCATCGTTTACTGATTTTTCAATTGTCCTCAGCCGTCAGGGGGGAAAATCCTTTGTGGCAGGATGAAATGAGTGGAGTAAGTAGAGGAAAAGTAGGAGGCATACCGTTTCATTAGCATTATGCGGCCACAAAAGTATTCCAGAAATCCTTTTTACTTCACCCAGGGTCCTGATCCTGGTCCAGTTTCGGGTCAAGTTGAATTATTTTAATGATCAAGGATTAGACTTAGGGAGAGCGACAGAGGGATTGCTGAGTATGGTGTCGCATTAGCATGCATTACATCAGGACACATTTGCACGTCTCGCCGGTCCTGTCCTGTCTTGCTCCTGGGTGTTGGTGTTGGTGTTGGCTTACCAAAGGGACTCGAGGGGGAAATGAGCATCCTGTAATTACTTTATCCGACATTCGTGTAGGATTTCCACTATTTTCGGCCGGCTTGACATAATAGCAGAGATATTTTGGGGGCCAAGATGACCAAGGGGTAGGAGATAGAAATGATGGAGATGGGCGTAATTGTAGCCAACGCCCGCCCACACAATTAGACGCCTTGCACATTCTCCAAAACGACATAAATCATAATTACTTGCTCGACCTTTACCACACACCTCACTCTCTGGGTGGCTCTGGTTGTATTCAGGAAAGTGGGAGTATTTTGGATGGTCTGGGGCTGTTCCAAGCGCACTCGAGTGAAGACGTTTATTAGGCGCCATTACCTCGGCATATAAAGTGCTTTTGGAGGCACTGCGTCCTTGTTCTCTACTCTTCTCTCTCTCTCTCTCTCTCTCTTGGCTAGCTGGCTCGTATTCTCCTCTGATTCCGACTCCCTCGAATGTGTTTTCTGGACCACTACAATTGATTGCACTGTGGTTATGGGTCGGGTAATTTGTTGTTGCCGTTTCGACTGGCTTCCTATCAACGATTCCCTTGCCTTCTCTTTCTCCAACTTTCTATTTCTCCTTTTCTCTATTTCTCCAATTCTCCTGTTGGTCCACTCCGAGGGACCCAAAGTTTCCTTTGCTTTGGCTATGCACCTGATGACAGCGGGTATTGCCAATTTTAAGTATTAGTTTGTAAAGTGAAATGAAAAAGTCGCTTCGTTTACAACACATTTTGGTAAATTGACAACACTTTGTTTCTTAAGTCCTTCCTTCATTAAATACAAATACAAAATTGTTTTAAGTCTCTTTTATAGAAATATGTAAGGAAGTTTATCCAAATGCCCTGGAATTTTATAGATATGAAAACATTTTACAAAAGCACTTTTAAAAATTGACATCTTATATCTTAATAAAAACAAACTGACAATTTAAAATAAATAAATCTCTAGGGACATATATAAAATATTTATATTAAAATCCTTAAATGGTCTGGCATATAAAAAGTTTTCAACTTTCTTTTATTAACTTTGCCATTTTTAGTTTATGACTTAGCAACTTTGATCCCATTTTAGTGAACTCTAATATTCGGCTATTTCTTTTTATTTTTACTTTACTTTATTATTGTTTATTTTGGCTTTTAGTGGCTCTGCTGGTCAGGGCTAAATGAAAATTTAAGAGGAATTCATTATTTATTTAGCCGGTGATTTGTGCTGTTTTTTCACTGCCATTGATTTGCCCGTACTGTCAGCTTTTTTTTCGCCCGCTCTTTTAGTGGCACCTGATTTAGATGCATAATTTAATAGATATTAATTTGTGAAAATGAAATATTCGCGGCTTTTACGGTCGCCGTCTGCCCGCTTAGTGGTTACGTTTCGACTATTTTAATTTTTGAATTAGCCATTGCAATGGCGACACTTATCGGAGTATTTAAAATTAACCAAAATCCAATTAGTCGCATCAAATGCGAACCCCTAAAAGTATTCGCATTGTTTGAGGTCGATTGGGTGAATGAAATTCATTAGCTCAAACACATTTGGTAATTAGGGTTTGTTTTGGGGGAATAGCACATTCAATTACTCGGTGGAAATCATCAAAGGAAAATAGTTTTTAGCTTAGAAGAAAATGTGTAGCCTACTTAGTTGGGTGCCTCTGCTTTAGCCCGAAGCAAATGCTAACTATGCTGGTATTATTTAATTAATTCAATGCTCGCTTGGAATTTTGGATAGTTGATTATCCGCCTCGCCTCATTTTGCTATTACAAAAGTTTTTATCGTGGCAATTTGCAGGCCAGAGCAAGCATCAAAACTTGCTTAATTGTTGCAAAAAGACAAACAGAGGGCTTTCCCACGCTGGCCTTGGGGGTTGGAAAATGC